CACTTTATGCAGTCTGAATTTCTCACTTCACATATAGTGAAACTGAGGCTGAGAGGTCATGATCTGCCGAAAAGCACAAAGCCGATGAGTGGCAGAACTATAAAACTTGTCTTTGGATTTCTGTTCTAAATACTAAAATAACATTACTCAGTGTTCATGTTCCAGTTACCCAGTATTATAGAGTAATAATTGTCAAATATTAAGTATAAATAATGTAAATGAAAATGGAATACTTTTGGAAATTGTGAATTGAATAGTCAGAAAACGCTATGAGAAATACCTAAAATTCAACTAGCTAGAATTCCAATATCCCTAAGATTTGAATGATCCTAAGAATATGACAGGATACAAAATTCCATCAGGTTCAAAGCTCTTTTGAGTTAGATGGAATTAATAAGATTTGAGAGCTAAGGAAATGGAAATGCCAGTCAAGATATAACCTCTTAAGCCGGGCTCGGTGGCATCCCGCGCCTTTGGGAGGCTGAGGTGAGTGGATTGCCTGAGCCCGCGGGTTCGAGACCTGCCTGGACAGGCGAGACCTCATCTCTACAATAAATCAAAAAATCAGCCGGGCGTGGTAGCGCATGCCTGTAATTCCGGTTACTTGGAAGGCTGAGGCGGAAGGATTGCCGGAGCCCAGCAGGTCCAGTTTGCGGTGGCCGGGAGTGGCCACTGCATTCCAGTTTGGGCAACCGAGTAAGACTTCAATTCAAAAAAAAAAAAAAAAAAAAAAAAGATATAACCTCTTGCACTTAAGAGATGCCAACTTTGGTCAGGCTCAGTGGCTCGGCCTATAATTCCAGCACTTTAGGAGGTCAAGGCGAGTGGATGGCCTGAGCCCACGGGGTCGAGACCAGCCCAGACAACTTGGCGAGACCTCGTCTCCACAATAAATAAAAACTAGCCAGGCATGGTAGCGCGCACCTGTGGTTCCGGCTACTTGGAAGGCTGAGGTGGAAGGATTGCTGGAGCCCAGCAGGTTGATGCTGGGGTGGCCGTGAGTGTGCTGCTGCACTCCAGCCTAGGCAATGGAGTGAGACTCCAATTCAAAAAAAAAAAAGAGATGCCAACTTCACTGAGCAGACCAAATAATAAGGCATGGGAACACTGAGTCATGAGCTATGTAACCACTTCCTTTAAGATATGGAGTCACTGGCAAGGCACTGTAAATAGGCTTCAGTGTGTCTTTCAACCTGGAAAAACTCAGAATAAGCAAAATGTTTAAGAAAATAAGTACCATGGTATTAATAATGGTGTCAAGGAACCTGAGCATATTTGTTATTTTATGTACTTGTAATGTTTGATAGAACTGGGTCCATCAGAAAAAGAATAGGTCATTCTCATGACTTCATTTGTTATCTCAGCAATACTGAGTCCTGACCATGGTAAATCTCTCCATTATTTAGCAATACTTGTAGTTGCTAGTGTAGTGGTCTTACATGCTTTTTGATAGATGTATTTCTAAGTACTGTATATTCTTTTATGTTATTGTAAGTAAAATTTTTTAACATGCATTTTCCAATTGTTTGCTGCTGCTATGTAAAAATACAATCGAGTTTTTTTGTTTTTTTTTTGAGTTGGAGTTTCACTCTGTCGCCCAGGCTGGAGTGGAGTGGCACACTCACGGCCACCCCAGGGTCAACCTGCTGGATTCCGGCAATCCTTCCATCTCAGCCTTCCAAGGAGCCAGATCTACAGCGTGTGCTACTGTGCCCAGCTAATTTTTGATTTATTGTAAAGACAAGGTCTTGTCAAGTTGCTCGGGTTGGTCTGGAACCCGCGGGCTCAGGCAATTCACTTGCCTTGGCCTCCCATAATGCTGGGATTACAGGCTGAGCCACCGAGCCTGGTCACAATTGATTTTTGTATATTGACTTTATGTCCTGCGACCTTGCTAAAATTCACTTATTAGTTCCAATAGTTATTTATTGAACTCCTAAAGATTTTCTATGTAAACAATAATTTGTGACCTCAATAGGAAATGTGTATTTAGATAATTGATTAGATTTGTGATTTCAAATTAAGTAAAAATTTAGATTTATCTATAAATGTTATCAGGCTTATAAGAATACTTTGTCAGATAATTGAATTAAGAGTGAAATTGAATACATTATATTTATAAAAGAAGCTTGAAAATGTTTAAAGAAATTTAATTAACATTTAAAAAATGCAAACATTGTTCAAAAGCCTCTTAAAAATAATTGCTAAAATTTGTAAGACTTATACAATGAAAATAAGATTTGTAATTTGCATTCAAAGCTTTAAAGAAAAAACAGATGTTACTTTAATGGAGTTATTTTAATGAATTGAATACTAATTTCCAAAATTAAAGGAATCTTGGAATCACCTTTCCTGCAAACAAAAATGCTTTTGGATTCCAAAACCCTCATACTTAACAGTTAATACCTGTACACCCACAAATATATCTAACATGTCTTTCCTTTTTTTTTTTGAGTTGGAGTCTCACTCTGTCACCCAGACTGGAGTGCAGTGG